AAGAAATCAGAAATGTTTTCTCGCTGTGATGCCAAATGTCAATATTTCGTTAGTTTCGCTCAGTATAGTTTTCTAGCAACTGAATTGTCTCTAGGTTTAGAAACAATTATCAATGAAACTAGAATTCAAGTAAATCACGGTTCTGTATAAAAAATCAACTTTTTCAGGCCGACCCGGGTCACTTTGCTCAAGGTTATGCTTTAAGAATTTATATTATTTCTTATTGTATAAAAATATGCGAATATTTTGAAAAAAAACAAAACAATTCAGCGCAAACAGCTGTAACCCATTTGAACGCTCAGTTATTTAATCAATGCTATTCCTTTTTCAGTAACAATTAGAAAGGTTCTGAAAATTAAAATTAATGGACCTTTCCCCTTATAACTAAAATTTCGATCTAGACAAACATTTCATCACAGCTTGAAAGAGCATCACAAAATTAGTAATATTCCAAAGTTTTGTTGCAAAATCTTGTAAAATGCGGATAATATAGCCTTGCGAAGTTTGCCGTTTTTCAGTCATTTTGTATTGCAAACGGGAAATTGACATACGATTCGGGTCTTGGGGCTGCATTTCCCGTTTGTAATGCAAAATGACTGAAAATTGCAAACTTCGCAAGGCTCTATTTTCCTCATTTTACAACATTTCGCAACGAAACTTTGGAATATTACTAATTTTGTGATGCTCTTTCAAGCTGTGATGAAATATTTGTCTAGACTTGCCTAGATCAAAATTTTGGTTATAAGGGGAAAGGTCTATTTATATTCTTCTTTCTGACAAGCTTTAAAGGGTGACAGATTTGCAAGTGATAACTAATGTCATTCTTACACGCCAGCAACTTCGAAGAACAGTCTACTGTGTCTCGGAATTTTCCACACTCAGAAGTACAAAAGGAACATTTCTACATTATTGCTTACCGTCAGGGCCGCCCAGAGGAGGGGGGCATAGGGGGCAAATTGCCCCGGGCCCCGAGTTGCTGGGGGGCCCTGAAAAATTTTTGTAGGGCCCCAGCCTTTTTTGTGTGTTAAATATTTCCGAGCAAAGGACAAGATATCTGTTTTCTTGGGCTAAGTACCGAATTTTGGCATAAAAAAATGAGATCAAGTCCCTGGAAAGCAATTGCAACGTACTCGTCCGGCAAAATTTTGTTCTCCGGAAAAAATTTTTTACCCCTAAAATGGTACACAGACCGAAAATTTTTTCGCGACGGGGGGGGGGAGGTTGTTATCCGGAAAAAAATTTTTCCGGGAAAATTTTTCTTGATAGGGGCCCCTAAACAAAATTTGCCCCGGGCCCCCGCCAACCTCTGGGCGGCCCTGCTTACCGTCATTCTCATCTGTCAACATAAAATCTACTGTCTGTCGAAATCGTTTAGGTTTACCTAACGTTGCGTGATCACAAATTGCGGCTGTAGTAGAAGTAGAACACCATTATTGTAAACACAAAAACCTCGTGCAATACTGTCTAAGACTACTATTTCATTCAATACAAAGAAAGGGAAATGAGAGAGCAACGAAACATTTCATCGTCATTTGATTGACATGTTTACGCTCAGCGAGTACATTTCTTTCGGTTAGGAGTTTTCCCCGAGATTAATTCGTACATTCTATAAAACGAAACTTTATATAACAGTTTAAGGTAAACAAACCAATGAAAATTATGTCTGTAGTATGACTAATTCTGAATTTTCTAATTTCTTTGAGACATTTTATTTACAGGAGGTAAACAAAGCGAACAGAGCGAAGTTCGTATGTCACAATCAGGACTCATGGCATTGAGGCGCGCAGAATTCGAACACACTGGACACACTGGCATTGAATCACTACCCTTGAAGCCAAACTGTACAGTCAAACAATTTCATTCGAGTGCAAAACCAAAGAATAATGATGAAAGACATATATTTACATAATCAAGCTTCATTCAGTGTAGTGTAAGGTGGTTTATTTGTTAATATCAAGAATTATGTTTACCGATAAAGTATGCTCGGTTTCGACAAATTTTCAAATTTTACAAAGTTTGCGCGCTTGTCATTTTTGTCAAATGGTAGATCAGAAAGATATTATTGGCGATTTGTGTTGACTAATGTTAGTAGTTTATAGAAAAGTTAAAGTTATGTGCCAATCAAGTGCCACGATTTTGAAATGCTTATTTCAAAATCGTTGACATATTTTGAGACGATATCCTTTATCCGTTCAGGAGGGTCAATAACTGCGCTGTTTTCTATTTTATACCAAAGAATAATGATCAAAGTAATATCACACGCGAAAATAGAAGGATAAGTCTATATTTCTGAGCAAAAATTTTGAAATTTAGGTATGAATTTGATTTAAAAAATAGCGCTGAAAATATGTCGATATTTGGCCTTCATTCGGAGTATCAAGTTGGTTACCAGTCGATCGAACATCAATCGCCCCCAAAAATAATTTAAAGGAAATTTGAGTAAAATGACATCGATTTTAGTTGTTCCCAAGGCTAGATCTTCAAAATACTAGAGTATGAGAGAAATCTATTTTTGAGCCCCATACTGACCTGGAGGTTTTTACGGAGACAGCCTCTTAAATCGCCTAATTTCTGGTCAAATTTCTGGTCAAATGGTCACATTTCTCTTAAAACGCCTAAAATCGCTTTAAATCGCCTTTCTGGCTGGGCGGTCGCCTCCTGGCTTTATTGGGCAAACAAAGCCAGCCGGGCAATATTTGCTTCACAGTCGGGCAATATTGGTTTATTATAGAAATTAATGGGACAAATTCTGTCAATTTTGTGGGAAATTCTGTCAATTATGTGGGAAATATGCTATCTAATAGGATTTTTTTGTAATCACTTCTCCCCCCCCCCCCAATCACTTCTTTCCAACCCCCTAATATTTTCCTTCCCGTACTCCCATGCTTAAAATCGCATTAACTCGGCAACACGCATTCTGTTTGATACATTCAGTCAATAATGTACTCAAGTTTATCAATTGCTGCTATTTTGCTGGCAAATCATGTATAATCCAGGTGTTTTGCAATCAAAAGTAATGCAACATGGATAAATCAAATAAGTGGATTAGGCTGACAATATTTAGTCACTCAATAGGCTCCAGTCGTTAATAAAAACAGAGCCTTTTTCTGCTTTATGCAGACTTTACAATAATTAGGCAATTCTGGGATATGAAAGACCCATAGATTCCATTACACTACCAGCAACAAAATTGAGTTACTGGTTAATTTCATTATTGGTGTAAAATGTGTAGGCTGGGCTACAATTTATATGGACTATGGTGGCTGGGCTACAAATTAATCTATAATATACAAGGCTTCTCAATGCTTAATTGCTGTTAGAACAACAGTAGGAGACTATGATAATGAGAGTCAATGAGTACGAGTATATAATAAGGTCATCCTGCAATTTGTGCACTGTTGCATGTAGATCGAGCACTGCATTGTATACAATGGTTGTACTTCGACATGTGCATGGTTATACTCTAGCTCCTAGTTATAATTATATTGACTATCATACGAAAAACATACGTGAGGTTTAATATGAGCGAGATTTGCAAGTTTTGCAACTCTCATCTATTAAATTTTCCAGACCTGTATATAAAATAAACAGTAAAACAATGATTACATCGTACATACCACTGATACAATCTTTGTTGTTGCTTGTTTGCAGAACACTTGACAAATTATCAGGTAAAAGACTTAAAATCACGATGTAGTGCGCGGTGTGCCATTTGTTTAATATCATTTTCTTTAGTATTTTTTTAAAATAATTTAGAATTCCGACCATTTATATGCGATGTACTTCATGTAAATTTAACTAACTTTACGGCATTACGCCGACAGTTTCCGAATGCGTGACAATACTGTTTCAAAATCAAACTGTTTCTGGATATAGATATCAAATTGCATAATTTTATAAAACATGTTTGTTGAAACAGTTTAAATAAAATGCAAGCTAAATACAGACGTGTTGACAAGATACAAAACAAGACAATTTCACTTACAAGGGTGACAAGGTAATTTATAGGAATATAGCTTATTGTAACTGTATAAATATATTGTGCGTTTCTACTCCCTGTGGGCTGTAGTTTTTTTGGAAATCAAATATCTATTGTATTTTGCAATTAATAATATTAAAGTTTAGCCTAAGACATGTGTAGTTTAGTTATAGGTTGGTATTTTGCAATTATGTACCGTACATGCCCCTTAAGTATAGAGTATATTTATTAACTGTTTACAATATTTGTGTATATAATGTAGCCATGAATGCACATGACCCCACAAGATGAACTCCAATGGCTTCTAAATAAGACAATGGATGAAAAGTTTACGAATATTGAGCTTTATATATGATTCGGGTTAAATACAATAATTATTAACCTAGCTTTATATAAAATGTACATACATGTTCTAATAATTGTATTTTGCTTCATACAATGCATATGTGTCAATGTGTGTGAAAACATTATTCAGCTCACTCCCCTTTGGGGCTTTTCAGTCACCGCTTACATCAAGTATTAGGGTTACTTATGTTAGTCTAGCCTATATATCTTTATAACAATGAGAATATGATATCACTTTTCTAACTGTGTTTATTCTAACCCACCCTGCCATATTTTGCCTTGTGGGTGGTAACCGGAGCAAAATATAAAATTCAATTACCTTGAAAACACAGGTCTAAATTGCAATCCCTAAAATTTAGAATTTTCTCTTAAATCGCCTAAATCGCATTAAATCGCAGTGCTTGAAAGTCCCAGTTTTTCCTTAAATCGCCTAAAATCGCCCAAAATCGCATTATATCGCAGCGATTTAAGGCGATTTACCGCCCCAGAGTAGGCCTTATTAATGCAGAGCCATCCAGTCAGGTCTGTATACATATGACAAGGTAAGTTTGTCAAGGTTTGTATACATATAACCACACTTTAATAAAAACTGTAGTTTAACTTTTATATATATAATGTAGTACTATTACTTACTATAATTGTTCTTCTTGTTACATATTTGCTAACGTGAGTCAAACATGTCAGCACATACATTCCGGTTTTTTGCGAGATTTTGCCGAGTATGGTCTGTGCGGGAAGGCATTGACTTGATGCCTTTCCTGAAAGTTGTTTATCAGATAACTTTCAATTTTCAGACTATTTCGTTCTAAGGTCAAGATTAAATCGCAGCACTAAAAAATAGTTTGTTTTTTTGCGAGATTTTGCAAACTATTTTACCATACATTGCTGAAAACAATCTTAAATACCTCAGAACATGTTATATAAAACGCGTTCCAAACTATTTTCAATAATTCCAAACTATTTTTTTTTCTGCCAAAATTAAAAAAAATAACAAAAAGTGCGAAGATTTCATTTTAGCAAATCGAAATACTATTTTTTTGCAGACACTCTGCAAAAAAACAGCATTTTTATCTAAACGAGACACCATTCTGAAATCATTAACGATAAAGTGCATATTTGCAGTATTCATACTTACATGACTGACACTGGTTTCAGATTGTCATATATAAATATCAACCAGAGATAAATTAGAACGGTTTGAGTTTGTCAAAATCATATCAAATACCAACCAGAAATAAATTAGGTGTCTGAATTTCAGACACCGAAAACGGTTTGAGTTTGTCAAAATCATATATAAATACCAACCAGAGATAAATTAGGTGTCTGAAGCCCCGTTTACACGACAGTCATTTTGGGCACGGCACGCTTAAATTTTGGCACGCGGACCCATTTTTTTGGGCACGGCACTCTTAATTTTTGTCGTGTAAACGCAAAATTAAGGGTCCGCGGGCCCAAAATTTTAAGCGGGCCGAGACCTCCTCAGGAGGTAGTCTCGGCCCGCTTAAAAACGGGTCCGCGGACCGAAAACTTGTTACGCACGCGTTTTGTTTCTCGCATTGCAAAAATATTGTGTCTGTACAAGCAAAATATCGAGGGAAAATGTGCATGGTCAGACGAAGCCATATACAAGATGACAAGAGCTCCAATATATATTATGGTCATGCATAAAGAAGCTATATTCAACTGGTATTCTTGCTACACTAAAGTCAAAGCTCAGAGCAAAGCGAAGAGAAAGAGAACTGTATTTAAGCAATGCTGATATATGTGATGTTGAAGATTATTATTAACAATCATTTGCCAAGGGCGAAGTGCTATCGGTCAACATTCACCATAATCATGCAATGTGCCAATGAGCCTGCAGCCGAATCATTTCACTGTTAATTTGAAGGTGTTAAAATAACACCAAAAATGGTGTCAAATAAAAAGGTACAAAATAACACCTTTTTGGGTGCTATTTTAACACCACTTTGTAGGGTGTCAAATTAGCACCTGCAAAGGTGTTAAAATAACTCCATTTTTAGTGTCATAATAGCACCCTTTTCGGTGTTGTTTTAGCACTCTAACCTTAGTGTTAAAATAACATTCAATTTTAGTGTTATTTTAGCATTACCGAATATTAAAAATGTATATCCCTTCTATCCAACACACAAAACAATTAATAAAATAATCTGTTGAAAAATTTATTTACATTATACTTTACAGCATTACTTATCTATGTCATATATGAAGTTTATAGTAAATTCAGAGTTATTGCACCTAAGGTTTACACTATATAGAAACGTTCACAGAAATAGACCATGATTGTGACGCCATAACTCTCCTTGTACTACACTCTAGTCATTAAAGATAAGGACAATACCGTAAACTTCCAACTATAAGCCCTGGGCTTACATTCTTTCGTAAGCGATTTTTGATGGGCGTATACATGGACAATCTTTTGTGTTAGTTTAATAGCAATAAACAAGTATAGTAATAGTGATAAACAAGTGTTAAACAAGCATAGTAATAATAATGATAAATAGTTGTAATAGTGATAAACAAGTGGGCTTATTTATATTTGGGTGGGCTTATATTCAGGGGGGGGCTTATATTTGGAATGAGGTGAGCGTTAGTACATGTGGTGGGCTTATACGTGGGGGGGAGGACTTATACATGGGGGGCTTATATTTGGAGATTTGCGGTATATCCTGCATGTACAATACATGCATTACATTAATGATCAATATAATATCATCATTATCATAAATTGTGCATTATCATAAACTGCAGGTTGTTGGCTATATTGCACAATTTGAATTTTTCACAAACATTCCCTCTGCAATCAATGAAATAAAACTTATCTCTTCCAGAGGTCCAGTACCAATAGACAAGGGGTTGAGATCCTGATAAAAGGGTTTGAGCATCCTCTACACAAAAAGATTTAAACATAGAATAAATTTCTGTACAGTATACATACACATATATAGATTAAGTTCTTTCAATTAAGTATCTTAATCTATGTTAACTGTTTAATCCATGTCCATGATATAAACACACAGATACTAAACAATTGTTTCTTCAAAACCTGTAATCACTGTAATCAATCATACAGCAAAGTAGACTATTCACTAGCTACAGTTGCAAACAGTAGATTGTTTAACTACCTGAAAAAATAAGAATTTCTTTGAATGATTTTCTTATTTTTTAATCAGTAAATACTAATTAAACAACCTACTTTTGAAAATACTTCTCACAATTACATACTT